AGGGTGACAAAAAAATTAATGAATGCGTAAATATATTTTATTGATTTAATCAGGAACTACAAAACCGAATGCTCTGAAATCTTGCAGATGTTTTAAGGTCATAAAGAGCATAATAAATGTTTAGTCAAAATATATTTGCTTATCCCCTCCAAAAACTTGATGATGTCAGCTCGAAAGTTTGCCGAATAAATCATATCTAAAATGTACAAAATATGATGAGTCTGTACTTGTCATTTATCACTCCATTCATATTTTTTGGATTTGCATATACAGAGTGACTCAAAAAAATTAATGAATGCGTAAATATATTTTATTGATTTAATCAGGAACTACAAAACGGAATGCTCTGACATCTTGCAGATGTTTTAAGGTTATAAAGAGCATAATAAATGTTTAGTCAAAATATATTTGCTTATTCCCTCCAAAAACTTGATGACGTCAGCTCGAAAATTTGCCGAATAAATCATATCTAAAATGTACAAAATATGATCAGTCTGTACTTGTGATCTACCACTCCATTCATATTTTTTGGATTTGCATATACAGGGTGATTCAAGAAAATAAATGAAAGCGTAAATTTATTTTACTGATATACTCAGGAACTACAAAACCGAATGCTTCGAAATCTTGAAGATATTTTAAAATTATCATAAGCATGGTAAATTTTTGATCAAAATGTATTTGGTCGTCCCCCCTAAAAAATTTATGACGTCACCACAAAATTTTGCTGAATAAATCCTATCTAAAATGTACAAAATATGGTGAGTCTCTCCTTGTGATTTATCACTCCATTCAAATTTTTTCGATTTGCATATACAGGGTGACTCAAAAAAAATTAATGAATGCGTAAATTTATTTTATTGATTTAATCAGAAACTACAAAACCGAATGCTTTGAAATCTTGCAGATGTTTTAAGGTTATAAAGAGCATAATAAATTTTTAGTCAAAATATATTTGGTTATCTTCTACAAAAAACTGATGACGTCAGCTCAAAAGTTTGCCGAATAAATCGTATCTAAAATGTACAAAATATGATGAGTCTGCACTTGTGATTTATCATTCCATTCATATTTTTGGATTTGCATATGCAGGGTGACTCAAAAAAATTAATGAAGGCGTGAATTTATTTTATCGATTTAATCAGGAATTACAAAACCGAATGCTTTGAAATCTTGGGAATATTTTAAAGTTATTATAAGCATGGTAAACTTTTGTTCAAAATGTATTTGTTCATCCCTCCTAAAAAAATTGATGACGTCACCCTTAAATTTTGCTGAGTAAATCCTATCTAAAATGCAAAAAATATGATGAGTTTGTACTTGTGATTTTTCATTCCATTCATATTTTTTAGATTTTCTTAAGAGGTGGTTCAAAAAAATTAATGAAGTCAATTTATTTTATTGATTAAATTAAAGGCAACACTTATTATTAGTATGACACTCCAAGCAACCCAATTTGGTAGACACAAAATTTGTTAAAGGAAAAACTCGGTTGAAACATAAGGGTAGCACGCTTATTTACATCGACTTTAACATTACAGACCTGCATTTGTTTTATGCGCTCACTTGGTTCTGCGAATGTGAAATAGACATGTTTATAATCAACCAATTGTGAATTTCACCGTCAAGAATTAAAATAAAACCTAATGTTTTATATAATAAGCGGAAGTCGAAGCAATAAAACCGATGGTCGTTTTGTTTACAGTTTCTCTGTTTGACTCTCACGTATGCTGTTACGCTTGTCATCTTAAATTAAGAATGTTTATACATAAACGATTTTCAGTTGCCTTTCATATTACTAGACAGCGAATTTTTGTCGGGCTACGTCACGATTATAGGTGGGTACGCGCTGGATCGCCGGGACTCAGTAGCGGGTGATAGTTAATCACTGAATTTAATCAGTACCAATTCCATAAATATAATTAACGATTTATTAATCAAACGGCTAAGTAAATGAGAACGGGAATTAACAGCAGAGTGCAACGAAACAGCGTTATTCTAATCTCAAATAAACGAAGTGCAGTCCGCAACCGCAATGAATTCGCATCCCGTACGAGCCGTACCGAGTTTGGCCTTGCCTAGCCCGACAGAAATCCGCTCTCTAGATATTACACACCGGCGCCGTATACGTGAGTAAATTGTTTCGTTATTTTATTGATTATAAGAAATCAATATTCAAAACGACCCAATTCATTTTCCCGAAAATTTGGGAATACAATAATTTTATTCTTAGTATTACACTACATCTATCCCAACTGATATACGTGTCCTTGCAAAAATGTTGATGACGTCATCACAATTTTTTTTTAAATTCCCACTACAAAAATGTAATGAGAAAAAAAAAACACAATAGGCATGCAGTCGTCAAGTTTCCGACAGCGAGGGAAGTACTGTCTAAACTCTTTAGACCAATTTTTTTTAATTTCTGTGTTAGTAAAATATCAATGTAAAGACGTGAATTCCGTAATAATAATAAATAAATAAATAAATAAATAAATAAATAAATAAATAAATAAATAAATAAATAAATAAATAAATAAATAAATAAATAAATAACTAAATAAATAAATAAATAAATAAATCATCTGTCCATATACAGACGAACGCCATTCATTATTTAATCAATGATAACATTAATAGATTTACTATTAGGTTGTGACTGATAACCAAATTCAACTTAATAACATTTCTAGACCCTTCCTTAATTTTTTACTGAACACGTATGTTTTACGTTGGTTTGTCTTTAAAAAATTAAGCTTTAGATTCTAGTATAGTAGCCCGTGTTCAGCTGAAAAATTCATCAAGTTGGCGTTGCTTTTTTGACAGAAGAAAACATACTCTTCTGTATAATTGCCATTTCCACGTTGTCAGCTGTCATTGATTAAATTTTAGGTTTATTATGGACATACTTCACAATGTTTACAAGAAACGAAGGCTAACTTGATGACTTTTTTAATTAACCTAAATTGCTGTTTCTGATTTGTGTAAAGGTTGATTCGAAAAATTTTTTTCTTATAAATTGTTTATCAAAGATATCAGTGAAAATCAAATAACTGTTAGTTTCGCGAAAAAGATAAGTTGTACTTATAGATTATGAGTTACGAAATGATTCCCAAAATGTCGAAAGTTGTAATAGGTAACCTTGAAAATTTGTAAATCTACTCAGTATTTTTTTAATGATTCGTTTGTTTATTTAAATGGTTACTTGTTCCAAATCACCATTTTTTTCGTTTAAATTGAATTCAAATACATTGTGTAGTTATGGTGTACACTAAAAAAACTAGAAAAACTTTGGTTAGGTAGTTATAGCACTGCTTCAAAATTCAATTATTTTTAAAATAACAAGTGTTTTGTGTTAATCAGTTACTTTTGAAATAAAAAAATAAATGGAAGCAACCAAAATCATAATCGTTATTACAAGAATCAGTTCATTACAGCAGCTCCCTCAGGCAAATTTTGGTTTCTTTGGAAAATAAAAAAAAAGAATACGTTTATTGGAATTTTCTGTAACAACTTTAAGAAAATATTATGTATACTTAATTGTGTCGAATATTCTCTAAGGACTGATATCTGTTACCTTTTGAATTATTAAACAATGTTAACACTAAATTATTACAACAAATGCAAGTGGAACTTAGCTCTTTGTCTGACTGCATTTTCTAAAATCTCTGCATTATTATTAATCTTATGAATTTTGTGTGTATAATCCTATTGTCATAAAATTTAGCCAAAAATCTATCGTAGCTTCAGTTGTGTGAGCAGTAGTACCATCCTGCTGAATGTAACCATAAAACAACTCATTATCATCCAGTTGATTTAAACATGAAGTTTAAATTGACATGATTGTTCATGTAGCGTATCCTCCTCACGTCCTTAGATGTCGTTCAGCATCCTTTAATGTCAGTGTCATATTGATATTTCGATCCTATCTTATTTATTCATTTACCTTACATTTAATCTGTTTGTCTAAGAATAACATTAAGTAAAAAGTTAGCGAAATCTTTTTTCGTGAAAGCATTGTTCATGAATAGACTTAAATCATATAAACAAGGGGAAAAAATGTTATCAGAGTTTTTGTTGTACAGAAGGTCCTTTTAAATTTAGTTCTAAATATTTGTAAATTACATAAAAATAATAAATAATTTTATTGTTAACAATTTATCAGTGACCTTGAATAATTAATTATGTGAGATTGCTGTTGTTATGTAGGAACACTACGAATTCATGACGTTTTCCATTAATATCTATGGTTTTATAGTATATTAAAGAACGCGTTTCATAAGGCAAATATTAAAGCACGAATCCAAGTGTATAGTACGAGCGGCGAAGCCGCGAGTTATATAAAGGATGAGTGCTACAATGGTCTTATGAACGAGTTATTTATACAATTTTTTCTACCGCGCACGTTTTGCCGCAAAATTTAATTGAAATTTGAGTTTTTTTTAATCTAGGGATTTTGTCGTGGTTGGTAATGGGTTGGTAAAACACTAACCACCAAGAGCTTTTGTAACTTAAAATTGGTTAAAATGTCTTGTGAAGAAGTTAGTGAACTCCTTACGCCTCCCGAAATACGGGAAATTGCACAGAGTAGTATACAAAATTTATTGCCAAACAAATCTGTTAACTTTATTTTGACGTTTATTTACTTTATTTAATTTAACATTTGCCACTGACATTTTTTCTCGTCATGGCTACCAACCGTACCGGTCTAAATTACACCAGATCTATTTCAGAACACCTTTCCGCTATTAACGAACCTCTTTGACGTCATTTGGGTTCTTTAATAGCTCTGTTACAAAATCAAGGTAGAAAAATATATATTTTGATATCTAGATACATCGGCATAATAAAAATCTTCCTGTTCTAAAAACCCGTTTTAAGGACAAAATTTTTCCATCATGTCCAGAATAAAGTAAACGATAAGCCTATCAAACAGGTACTTGACACAGAGTCAGCGATCTTTATCACAAAACTTTATTTCTTTTTATCAATTAGTACTTCTCAAAAGTGAACAGGTGCTAAACGTTTTCACTTAATTTTGTTTCAGTTTCACGCAATTTCGGTCAAATAATAAAGTAAAAATAAGTAAATAACTAAAACTCCTAGTGACTTAAAAGTACTCCTATCAGCACATTTTTAGCATTGTGCAATATCTGTTCTCCTAAATAAATTAGGTGATTAGCACGTAAGTACCATTGTTGTGATAAGATATATAATTAAAATCAACAACTTCTAGTACTGAATAAACCATCGATCGAATTCCAGCACATCAACATGAAACTTAAACTCCTAATTCTAGCTCTTTCAGTTGTGGGTAAGTACCTAGGAATCATTTAAATTTCCAGTATTCATTAAGTATTTGATTTTCAGCCGTTAGCAACGCTTTGAGATGCTATGATTGCGATCCCACTACAGACGGCCAATGCACAACGCCCGAAAAAGATAACACAAAGACTACAGTTTGTGAAGAAGATGACGGTGCCACAATACCACCCACATATCTTAAGAAACTGATTAACGACATTGACAAGACGGAGATTGAGACTAGAGTGACTAATCGGGCCGAATTGCAATTCGAATGTTTCACCATGTTCTACGAAACAGGTATAACTTAGACGCACGTAGCTACTATATTAGACATTTTGCTGACTTTTTCTGTTTAGAGGAAGAAGGTGAAACATCTGGAGTCTACAGAGGCTGCATAGAAAAGAGTAAATACATTGATTCATCTTGCTCATATCTCGAGGAATGGCTGAACAAAGGCAACGTAAGTTGCCAAACTTGCCCCGATGACAAGTGTAATGATGAGTATGTCGGTGGTGCCGCAGCTTTGACAGTGTCTTTAGGAATTGTCATGCTCAATTTATTACTTTGTGTGAAAGTGTTTACCTTTTAATGTGGAGTATTAGAAAGTGACGTCAGTACTTGGGCAGTCAGATATATAACTAGTTACGTAAATTGTTTGTTAGTCACCTTTATCGTCAGAATTTGTATCGCGTCATTTAATTTATAGATAAAAGTATTAGAGTAAGTATTTGTACTGAGAAATTTTTAAGAGGTGTTGTTTTTTTATGACATTTTGTCAATTAAAGTTGATATAATTTTTAGGTGTTTATTTATTTTTTACTTCCCGAACGTAAGCGAAGGAAGTATTGTAATCGTGTCCGTCGGCAGACTCTCTACTTTTACGTTTTCTCGACCTTTAATGACCCCTAGAATACCAAGAAAGAGGTCACCCGTTTCCGTCTGTCTGTCCATCTGTCTGCTGTCGCGGATTTTTATTAGCCAGATAATTTCCATAATTTCCGAAAGTACTGGGCCGATTATTGTGAAATTTTGTATTTATATTAGGAATATCATGTAGATGGTAAAACTTTAACCAAAAGTTCTCTAATCATCCTCACCACTAATGCGGTGACGTCATTTTGAAGTTGTACGTGGTAAATGCGTTTTAAATTGTATAAAATAACATAGTCCTAAACATGTGGTTTATGAGTCCGGAACGTCCAGATTTTTGGAAAAAGAAATCAAAATTATGAAACAACATTTTGCAATTTAATTTTGAATTTGTAAAACCGAGTGCTTTGAAATCTTGCAGATGGTTTACAGTTATGATGAATCAAAATATATTTACTTATCCCCTCCAAAAAATTGAAGACGTCAGCTTAAAAAAAGTTTGCCGAATAAATCCTATCTAAGATGTACAAAATCTAATGAGCCTGTACTTGTGATTTATCATTCTATTCATATTTTTTGGATTTGCATATACAGGGTGACTCAAAAAAAAATGAATACGTGAATTTATGTTATTGATTTAATCAGGAATACTTTGAAATCTTGGAGATGTTTTAAAGTTATCATAAGCAAAGTAAATTTTTAGTCAAAATGTATTTGCTCATCCCACCTAAAAAATTGATGACCTCAGCTCAAAATCTTAAATGTACAAAGTATGATGAGACAATACTTGTGATTTATCATTCCATTCAAATTTTTTAGATTTGCTTAAACAGGTGGCTCAAAAAAAAAATGAATGAGTCAATTTATTGATTAAATCAGAAATAGCTCACTCCATTTTTCCGAAAATTTGTAGATACAACACTGTTATTATTAGTATTACATTGCACCAAGCCAATTTGATAGCCACAAAATTTTGTAAAGTAAAAACTCTTTGAAACATAGGTGTAGCAAGCTTATTTATATTTACTTTAACACTACAGACGTGCATTTGTTTTGTTGCGCTGACTAGGTTCCGTGAATGTGGTATAGACAAGTTATAATCAACCAATTGTGAATTACACCGTCAAATATTAAAACAAAGTCCAATGTTTTATACAATAAGCGGAAGTCGAAGCAATAAAAAAGTCTGGACGACCATTGGCATTGTTTGCAGTTTCTCTGTTTCAGTCTCACGTATACAGTTTCAACAAGTGTTTGCGCTTGTTGCCTTAAATTTAGAATGCTTATACATAAATGATTTTCAGTCGCCTTAAGTAAACTGTTTCGTTATTTTATTGATTATTATTCAATATTCAAGACTACCCGATTCATTTTCGCGAAAATTTAGAAATACAGTACTTTTATTTTTAGTATTACACTACATCTATCCAAACTGATATACGTGTCCTTGCAAAAATCACAAAATTTTGTAACGGAAAACTCACTTGAAACAATCGCATAGCACGTTTCTTTACTCATACTTGAACATTACTACATATCTTTATTTTAACTTATAATGGTTATTATCATAAAAAAATAATATTCCCAAAATCAAATCTTTTCATTTTTCAAAACAACTAGTTTTAACAAGGTGAAACCTTCTTCTTTTCTATTACACTGTGACTAGTACCTTCTATATTATTTTTGTTTCATAGTGATTCCACGAAAAAATAAAATTCGGCAAAATAAAATTTTATAATTTTTCAGAGAAGCAGTAGAATTTGTTAGAGTGTACTTCAGAAGCGAATGAAGTTCTGTCGAAATAACTTTCGACCAATTTTTTAATTAAGCTAAACGATTGTTTCTGATTCGTGTAGAGGTTGATTCGAGATATTTTGTTTTTATAAATTGTTTATCAAAGATATGAGTGAAAATCAAATAACTGTTAGTTTCGCTAAAAAGATAAGTTCTAATTATAGATTGTGATTCACGGTATTATTCCCAAAATGTCGAAAGTTGTAGGTTTTTGGTTCCTCTGTCTAATAGTTAAACTTAATATTGATTTTTAAATCTACGTGGTATTTTTTAAATGATTCATTTGTTTGTTTAAATTCTTATTTGTTCCAAATCACCATTTTTTGTGATTAAATTAAATTCAAATAAATAGTCTTACTTATAACAGGTGTACACTAAAAAATATATCAATGACGTACGCATACATTTTTCTTGCGACTTCGCTCTTTTTGCAGATAATCTAAAGATATTTAAAATAATAATTAGAAGTATTTATTTAGCTCTAGTGCGATTTAAATATGCTTTTTAATTTTGCCAATGATAATTTAATGGGACCTAACTTTGAGAAACGCATAGCCATAAATTATCACTTTCTGTTTCACATGATTTTATTGGTGGCAAAGTTGTTAAAGTTGCGACCTGTGTTAAAGATACTGGAATATTTCTAGACAGTAGGTTAACGTTTGTACCTCATTACGACTTTATTGTCTCACGTGCCACTAAAGTTTTGAGAAAATGGAGTTTAGATTTTGTATCTTGCAGCATTTATGTTTCCTGAAAACACCATATATCTTATTGTTAAAACACTAAGAAACTCTTTACCATAAAAAAAAGACTAATAATATGCTACATGGGCGCCGGCAGGATTATTTGCAGGGGGGTGCACCCATACATTATAGGATATAGTATATTTGCTCCATTTTCGAATTGAATCTGGGGATGAAATTTTAAAAATCATTTAGAGTCAGGAGCAGGAAACTCTTTGTATATATCGCATCAAATTCAAAATGAATTGATTGAAATTTGTTCTGATGTTCTGAAGGGCAAAATAATTGAGGAGGTGAATCAGGTATCCGTTTTTTAGGTGTTGGCTGATGAGACTGCTAATATTAGTGGCACAGAACAATTATCGATTGTATTTCGGTATTTGCGTTGTGATCAAGACAATAAAAATCCAATAATTTGCGAAGAATTTTTGGGATATGTGCCGCTGCAAGAACTGAATGCTGAACCTATTTCAAAAACTATTATCCACTTCCTAGAAATTGCAATTTGGATTTAAATTAAAGTGTGTATTTTATACTAAGCCAGGGGGGTGCAAGTGCACCCCCTTGCACCCCCCTGCCGGCGCCCATGATATGCTATGCTATTTAGAAACCATTGATTGTATGAAACTTTTTGAAAAAAATCTTTTGGACGTAATTACAACTACAGATGTGAGATTATAGGGAAACAATTGAAGATCTGGTCTCAGAATCGCATTAATGGTAGGTACCAACTGATAAACCGAGTTGTTGTGATAAATGAGTGATAGAAGTACCCAGGGTTTCCTCATTCTTCTGTCGTTTCGTCAATAAATTTTAGAGTTCACTTCTTTGTACGGTCGCTTTCAGGTTTTCATGCCACATCTAATTTCTTGGAAATTTTTTAAACCGACGTTTAAAGTTTGTCGAAGCTGCATTTACTCTAAATTTCACTCTAATTTACAGCCAAAGAGTTATTCTCGAAACTCTTCCATACAAAATCCAATTGAATTTTGATCTTATTTACTAATTTACCTTACATTTAATCAATTTGTCTAAAAATAACTTTAAATGTAAAATTCACGAATTAATGAATTCTTTTTTCGTGAAAATGTTGTTCATGAATGGACTTAAAACATACAATCATACAAACATGGCGAAAACATGTTATTAGAATTTTTGTTCTACGGAAGATCCATTTAAATTTAGCTCTAAATATAAATTACATAAAAATAATAATAAAGTTAATTGGTAAAAATTCAGTGATCTTGAATATTTGTGAGAGGTTAGCTTCTAAAGCTAAAAATGTTGTTATGTAGGAACATTACTAATTCATGACGTTTTCCATTAATATCCATGTGTATTTTGATATCCAGATGCAACGGCATAATAAACATTTTTCTGGTTTAAAAACCAGTATTAAGGGAAAATCCATCATTTCCAAAATAAAGTAATAAACGATAAGCCTATCAAACAGGTACTAGGCACTGAGTCAGCGATCTTTATCACAAAACTTTATTTTCTTTTTATCAATCAGTTCATCTCGAAACTGAACAGGTGCTAAACGTTTTCACTTTATTTTTTTCAGTTTCTCGCAATTTCGGTTACATAATAAATTAAAAATAAATAAATAAAACTCCTAGTGACTTAAAACTAGTCCCATCAGAAAATTTTTAGTATTGTGCGATATCAGTTCTCCTAAATAAAGTAGATAACTGGCACGTAAGTATCCTTGTTGTGATAAGATATATGTATAATTAAAATGAACAACTCCTAGTAGTTAAAACCCATTTTTTTAACAGAAATTTTAACACACGAAGTGGGTCTATACAGAATTTGACCATGACAATTAAAAAAAAAACTTCAGTTTGAGTAATGTTCTTTGTATAAAAGGTTTCATAGTGCAACCTCCGTGCAGCAATAGTTATAGTATTTAGGAAAACAATTTTTTTCGGTTAAGCATAGAGCTACTTTAAAGATACAGCTCGATCTACTCCTGTGGGGTTCTGGGACGGGCCGTCACTAAATTCGTTCAGGGGAAAATTGTAACAAAAACACTACTAACAAATCCCCAGAACCTAAAACAAAATTCGCATATTCCCAAATTGCAAATATCATTGCGCTTGTCAGACATTGCGAACAACATGCGCAGAATCGTACACCCATAAAAACCGTCAATCGCAATTAAAGTAGCCGTCAAGTTATACCGAATGATACCTGGGGGTCGTGCTGCCACTTATTGAAGTGATTAGGATGATTTTTATTATTACTATTCATTTTTGCTTTTATTTGACCATCCCGTAACCACTGATTTTCTGGTGAACAAATGTTCGCGCCCGGCATATTTAGCGAATTAATTAAGTTAAACATTACTTATCTCTCTTTTTGCATGTTTTAATTTTATAAGTTAGCGT